CAGGGCCTGCACGATGGTGGCGTCCTCTACAAAGCCGGGGATATTGGCCAAGATTATCCTTTCGGCCCTCTTGCGAAAGGGGAAGACCTTGAGGAGTGTTCCCTCGATGTTCAGGCCCTCCTCCACCAGACGGCTCGCAAGGTTCTTGCTCGCGAGGCCCACGATGTAGTGGCCGTTCATCCTGTTGAATTGTGTGATATTTTTGGGCCCTCCGACCAGGTCGCCCATTGCCCGGAGGTAGGAGTAGTCCGGGATGTCAGGGCACAGCTCCACGAAGATGTAGTTCTCGTGGTTGGTAGTGGCCTGCCTCGCCTTGGCGTCGGCGATGTTCGTGCGTGTTGCCTTGATCTCCTTAGGCGGCACTGTTCTCGACCCTGTTGGCCGCTTCTGCTGCTGGGAGTTGGGCTTCTCAGCAGGCCTGCTTGGCTGTTTAGCGGCGTGGTCAGGTGACGGTGAGATACGGCGCCTTTTCTTGCTCTTCACGACTGTGTAGTCGTCGTTGGCGTCCACCTCCGCCATCTCGCTGTCGGCCCAGTTGAGCGAGGCCGGGCTGGCTGTTGTAGCGCTGGTCGTAGCAGCCGTCTTCGGCGCCGTGACGTCACCACGCGCGGCGGCCGGATTTACATGCATGTCGCCTGCCGGCGAATTTGCATATTTTTGATTTTCAGAAGAAATATCAATTGTTTTCTTCATATTTCCTTCTTTTGGCGATAATTCTTCGCCTGTTTGTAGCAGGATGCTGGGCCTTTCAGGCACTTTTTCAGCACATCCTGGGCTTTCCGCCAATACCACACTTGCCAGATTAAGCGCCTTTTACACGCACTCAAAAGGCGAAAACGGCGGAGCTCGCGAAAGCGTGGCCGCACGCTCGAGTGTGTGTGTGTGTGGAAAGTAGCTATATTAATAAAGGTATAGATGACGATTAAAATTAAAAAAAAAAATGGCTTAGCGTTAAACTAAAAACTTCTATAAATTTTCTAAAACCCTTCCAACAGCAAATGATTACCCTAACAGACTCAAAATCAAATTCAATCAAGATTGGCAAAATAACATCAAACACCGCCGGTTCGATGGGAAAACTCCCCTCCTGAAAACAAGCTCACAACTTAACAGATCAGACTTCACCATGCTTTCCCGTCTTAGAAAAGGCCATCTACGTCCAATGATTTTCACAAGTGGATCCAAAACCTTTCCGAATTGCTCCAAATGTCAGGATTCTCCAGCGAGCCCAGAACACATCATGCAATGCATCGGGGATTGCCGAACAGACATCTACACCGACACGAGCTGTGGTCATCGAGGCGATAAAGAAGCCTTCAGGATCTGGTCTAACTTTAAGTCCAGAAAAAAAAATTAGAAATAACCTTTAATAGGCAATCCCATAATATTATGTTCAAATCATTAAGCTTGAGGGATAAGTCTCTTTCAAATACATTTATTTCAAGCTTTCGGGCACAACCGCCCTTCGACAGGAAAATTATATTAGTTACTAAAGTTTTCGGATCTAATCTATATAAACATTTGTGAGACGCCCGTGTCTCAAGTGTAATGCGAGGCTTGCCGCGGGAGGGGATGAGATCTTTGAAAAAGATGGCCGTTTAGCCCTTTGAAATATCTGAAATAAAAGATTATTTATTGAATCGCAGAGTTCATGATACTGAGGGGGGTTTTGTGGCTGCAGGGAATATTAGATTGTAAATTTCAGGTAAATCAATTTTTCTATTGAGGCTATAGAAAAATTGATTTACCTGAAATTTACAATGTAATATTCCCTGCAGCCACAAAACCCCCCCTCAGTATCATGAACTCTGCGATTCAATAAATAATCTTTTATTTCAGATATTTCAAAGGGCTAAACGGCCATCTTTTTCAAAGATCTCATCCCCTCCCGCGGCAAGCCTCGCATTACACTTGAGACACGGGCGTCTCACAAATGTTTATATAGATTAGATCCGAAAACTTTAGTAACTAATATAATTTTCCTGTCGAAGGGCGGTTGTGCCCGAAAGCTTGAAATAAATGTATTTGAAAGAGACTTATCCCTCAAGCTTAATGATTTGAACAGAAATAACCTTGTGAAGATAAATCTCAAAATTGACTTAAAACATACAAAGGTTAAAAAAGGGCTACCCATATGGAAATTTGGTTATAATTGATTCAGTAGTTCGCAAGAGTAAATTGTCCTGAAATTTTGATTTTTTATAGAGAGACTATATATATAATGATGATGAGTTGTTCATTATTATCTATTAATATATAAAGTTATCAGCGTCATAATCAATTCTTTCTTAATTCTGTCGCTGTTTGCTTTTGGTTCAGTGGTAAAATGCTCGCCTGCCACGCGGCCGCCCCGGGTTTGATTCCCGGCCGATGCATTTTTTTTTTACAATTTTTAAAACTCATTTATATTATTAAAATATATGTGCTTTTCCTGTCTATGTACTGATTTATGGTCTACTAGCCGAATGACCCGGGCAACGCCCGGGTTTCACCCGATTAAATGTTTTTATTCAAATACTATTCGTTACAATTATAAATTGGCGCCGTGGATGTCACTCTTGTGAAACGTCCCGCTCCAAACTTTGTGTCTGAGAAGCGATATTTTTATAGAAAGATGATCTGGCTTTTGTTTTCTGCTCAAAATGAATGTTTTTCTGTTAGAATTTTGTTCCTGCGTACAAAATAATGAACTGGTTTCACCCGTGGTCTCTGCTTTTAGGAATTTTTCCTGATATAATTTTGTATCTGATAATCAAACATGATACAGCAATATCGTCATCATCATTTTCTGACTAAATATATATAGTTTTAATAATTGATTTATATATATTTTAAAATAGCCTATCGTCTTCCCCGTATTCTTTTACCTATGTATGGGAATTTTGGTTTGAATTAGTGAACTACTGCGAATTTGTATACCTGACATACAAACAAACATACAAACATTCATTTATATATATATAGAATATCTACACAAGTATACAAGTATGTATACAAGTTATTTGCAAATTGCGTGGCAAATTTGTCCTTTCGCTCGCAAGCAGCGCCTCTAGCGGTGAAGATGGGAGGTAATATCAGCTGACCTAATGGACATGTAAAACGGGAAAATACATTTTTCGGATTTTTAGTCAAGAAAAATAAATTGACAGGTTCTGGGAAAAAAGTAGTTGTTTTTTATTCAGAAAATGATGATGACAATATTGCTGTATCATATTTGATTATCAGATACAAAATTATATCCGGAAAAATTCCAAAAAGCAGAGACCATGGGTGAAGCCAGTTCATATTTGGTATGCAGTAACAAAATTCTAACAGAAAAACATTCATTCGAGCAGAAGACACAGAGCCAGATCATCTATATATATATAAAATGAATGTCTGTGTGTGTGTCTGTGTGTGTGTGTCCTCTATGGATTCAAAAACCATACATCCAATCGCCGTGAAATTTTGGGATATTATTAGGTGTATCCCCGGAAAGGTTTACGAAAAATAATATCTTGAATATCTTTAATATCCTTAGAGTTATTTGCAGATTTGTAGCTTTAACTCGCAAGCAGTGCCACCATTGAGACAGAGATAGGCTTAGGTTTGCTGCTCTTGATGACCTTGGGTCTGCCCCACCAAGTGAGAGAATGGATTCGCCCGGCCGCTGGCCGCCCACCGACCAATCGGGGCAGAGTTGGTGACACAGCTATGCCAAGTAGACAAGAAAAAAAAGCCTCGCGGGAGCTTGCCCAAGATGACCTCCGGGAACTTCGTCCATCTTCCATAAACGACCATGAATTTATTCAACCTTATCGAGTATTTTTCAAGGGACCGGGAAAAAATGTTCACTAGATAAAACGATTATTTTGTAATGTAGAAAATTAGGAAAGACAAAATTCAGAATGACATGGCACACAGGGACCGGGAAAAAATGATCACTTTATCAGTTTCAAATTATCAAAATATATCTATTTCTTTTTATAAGTTTATAGAGAATTGTTTTAACAAATGTTCGTTAGACAGACCTTTACTCGGGTACCGATTAATATTGATTTTATTCAACTTATCGAGTATTTTTCAAGGGGCCGGGAAAAAATGTTCACTTTATCGAGAGATTCGTTAGACAAATCTTTACTCGGGTAAAACACGGGCGAAGCCGGGTACATCCGCTAGTCTCTTTATAAAAATATCGCTTCTCAGACACAAAGTTTGGAGCGGGACGTTTCACAAGAATGACATTCACGGCGCCAATTTATTTATTTATTATTATTATTATTTTTTTGCTCATCCCTAGTACACGTGGTACAGGCCATGATAATCATGGTGGGTAGTTAGCTACTGCTTTTTTTTTTACTGTAAGCGCACCACATGTCTATACATGTGAAAGCAGTTCGACTTTGCACTTACAAATGTGCCAGAGCCCCGTTTGGTTACTTGTACTCGCTGGTGGGGTTGGACTTTTGCAGGAATCGGGGGGCCATTGGAGCATTTTTTTTTTTTTTTTTTTTAAACAGAAAAAAGTGTCCAATGCGGGTTCGAACCCGGGTCGTAGTGGTCGTAAACCAAACGGTATAACCAGCCTTCCACCGACCGCCAATTTATAATTGTAACGAATAGTATTTGAATAAAAGCATTTAAACGGGTAAAAACCCGAACATTGCCTGGGTCATTCGGCTTAATCAATTCTTTCTTCCCCCCGAAGTTGATCCACTTTGCCGCAGTGGGGGGGCCCGAGTCCGACTTCCAAGTCGTTCCGCCAAGAGATCAACACCACAGAGGTCCGTACGTCTCTTGACCTCACGGACAATACAGCAGCTACTGGACTTGCCTCTCAGATTTTAATGACCGATATGTCCTCACTTCTTTTTTCAAGATTTAATTCATTTTGTCTCCTCTCTAATTGTAAATACGCTGCTGTATCACCTCATAAGCATAAATAAATTCTTTCTTAATCAATTCTGTCACCGTTTGCTTTTGTGAATGGAATAAATACCCAAATATGGCCATTTCTCATAACCATCGGTGGTTCAGTGGTAGAATGCTCGCCTGCCACGCGGGCGGCGGCCCGGGTTCAATTCCCCGCCGAGGCATTTTTTTTTTACAATTTTTAAAACTCGTTTATATATTATACAAGAATGACATCCACGGCCAATGCATTTTTTTTTACAATTTTTAAAACTCATTTATATATTATACAAGAATGACATCCACGGCGCCAATTTATAATTGTAAGGAATAGTATTTGAATAAAAGCATTTAATCGGGTAAACCCCGGGCGTTGCCCGGGTCATTCGGTTAGTAGTATAATAAACAACATAATAGTATAATAAACATAGTATAATAAACATAGTGTTGGGAATAGAATGTTAATTTTCTTATAGATTTATATTTTTCTAAATATATGTAAATTTAATCCATTATAAGAAACATATTTGTCATATGTAAATATTTATATGTATATATATTCGTGACAAAAAATAAACAGTTGTTGACTGGTTAGACTCGTGTGGTTTTCTCGGCCCGCTCTCGAGAGGTCTACGCCTTGGTTGATACCTGCCTTAGACACTTCCGCGGATTTGACTTCTTGGGAATCGCTCTTCTCTACCTTTGAGATACCACGGTTTTTTTTCCTCCCCGGGACCAGAATAAGAGACTTCGGGCGTCTGGGCAAAATAGAGCCTGGGCGCTACGCCGCTGAACGCGACATTTGGCATCCCAGCCGGGACTCGAGGAGGAAAGCCGTGCTTATATTTGGAACCCTTTTGGATCAGAAGATGGAGAGAGAAGAAGCACTAGAGAGACTCAAGAAGAAGAGAACCATACTCCGCACGTCTTTATCCAAGTACGGGAAAAGAATAGAGGAATATGACGTGCACAAGGAGTGTGACCACGAGGAACTGCTGGGGCAGCTTTCGGATGTCTACGAAGAACTGAGGCGGGTAGACGAAGAAATCGGTAAGCTGATTGACATCAAAGATCTAGAGAAAGATCTAAAGATGGTAGAGGAATACCGGGAAAAGGCCGTGGCGTGGAAATATTTGCTAAAGAAAAGAAGTCTGGTGGTAGCGGAAGGAATGCAGAGGGAAACTGCAACTGCCACGAAGAAGGAATATCCAGGAGAAATCAGTCGACCGACTCTAACTGGGATGGTTAAGTTACCCAAATTAACAATGGAAAGATTCTACGGGGAAATTAGCCAGTGGTTAACTTTTTGGAATGCCTTCGATTCATCAATCAATAAGAATGAATACTTGACCAAGATAGATAAATTTAACTATCTTAAAGCCTACTTGGGTGGAACGGCGGCCCAAACTGTGGAAGGATTTTGCCTATCTGAGGAAAATTACGATAAGGCCGTTTGAATTGTTGAAGAAACGCTTCGGAAAAAGGGAAAGGTTGATCGACGTGCATATGAACAACCTCTTGGCCTTGAAACCACTTAGAGTGACAAAGGACGTGGGGGCTTTCAGAGAATTGTACGGCAGAATCCTGGTGCAGATTAGAAGTTTGGAGTCATTGGGTGTTGTCGTTGAAAGCTACGGTAACTTATTGTGCCCTTTACTCCTCAAGCTATTGCCATCAGACTTAAAGCTTGAATTACATCGGGAATTCACAGGAGCTTTTTCTCTTGGAGATTTGATTGAATTTTTGGAGAGACAATTGATTGCATTAGAAAGCACGTTCGGCACGCGGGACGAAATAACAGCCGGCCAACCATCAAATGAGCACCCTCAGTCACAAAGCTCTATCGTGAAGTATCGAAGAAATAAGAGGAATCCCCTGCCCACGGCTGCTGGTTTTTTGAATGTCTCTGAAGCAGATAAAGAGAAAGTGCTGGATGTGGAACAAGGAATGGATATGAGGATCTGCGATGGAAGCAGTTTGGAAATCGGGATGAGTGAGAAGCCAAGTGTTGTCGGAGTTACCCTGATGAAAGGAGTTGATCCAGCTTCTATTAAGGAAGATGCTGAGATGGTGGTATCATCCGAGCAAATGGTAAAGGAGCCATCCAAGCAGATTGCTGTTGAAGAAAGTAATAAGGCTCAAGTAGTAAGAGAGCGCTGTGCTGAAGACGGTGAAAAGGCTCAAGTCAAGAAGAAGTCTGTTGTAGAAGTTGATGAAAGTAATAGGGCTGAAGTTGAGAAAGAATCCGTTGAAGCAGATAAAGAGAAAGTGCTGGATGTGGAACAAGGAATGGATTCAAAGAACACCGAAGAAGTGAAGCTGCTCTATGTAAAACAAGGTACCGATTTAAGGATGGCAGAAAGGCCATATGCAGAACAAGGTAATGAGCCTAAGGAAGACGGAGTACAAGACTCTGAAAATGAGCCTAAGGGCGACGGAGTAAAGGATTCTGAAGCTGAAACCAAGGATAATGAAGTGGAGGATTCTGGAACTGCAATTGAGGCTTGTGAATCGGTGAGCAACTCTAAAGCGGTAGCTGAAGGCGCGGATCAAGTGGAGATTGCAGATGGTGAGGCTGAGTCCATTGATGATATTGAGGAAAGAGTTGTCAGAGTTCCAGCATCGAGTAAATTGATGGAAGCAGGACAGTTAGGAGATGCGGAATTTAAAGTAAAGGGATACTATTTGCCTGATCGCCCTGTATGTGGGTGTGACTCCAGGGCTGCGCCTGTACGGCCAGCGAAAGACGGCGCTTCCTATCGAGGACGAAACGGATTCTCGTTGAAGCGATATATGAAGAGGATACACAGTCTGCTGAGAAGAATCCCTGAGATAAGGATAAAGCTTCGGAGGAATAAGTTCGGAGTTGTGGCCGACCTGAAAAGATATTTCCAGATGATCGCCATCAGAGATAATGATTGGGACTACCTCAAATTTCTTTGGAAAAAAAGGATGGACAACTGATGGTTTTGAGCGGGAAATCGTTGTAGACGATTTTGGTTGAGTGCCCGTGCCTCTAAATCCGGAAGAAAAGTAAATGGTTGAAGGATGATGCATGGTTGGAGAAGGTGAAACGCTTTCTAAGCAGGGTTGCACTGTCCAGATCACCTATGTGAGGAGAGAGCCAATAGAAAAAGGTTCAATTGGCAAATATCTTCCAAGCAATGGAATGTGACTTGTATCGAAGGAAACTGTTTCTGGAGCTGCAGTAACTCCAATGTTATATACTCCGGCCAGTTCTCCAAAGGGGCAAGTGCCTACTCCAGCGAAAAGGTCTTAATTTGGGAGACAAGTCTCCAGAAAGTCTGGTGAAAGTGCTAGACCGGAAAGGATTGCGAATCCTGTAGATCATAGGACTATTATATTGAGTGGTTTGAGATCTCTAAGGAAGAGTTCAGAGTCCTATGACTGCTGTAGGCCTGCAGACGATACCTCTGGGCCTTCAGACGATACCTCTAAGCCTAAAGACGATGCCTCGGCATAAGATCCTGATTCTTCAGGATGTAAAGCTCAATGTTCTCAAGAGGTTCCAGAAATTGCAATGGAAGATAACTGGGCGACTTTTGTAATGAATCGAGTTATGGAGATCCGATCTCTCAGTGAGACAGAGGATTGGTGTCGTGTACCAGGATGTTTGAATCCAGCGGATTTACCATCACGGGGGTGCTTAGCCGATTCTCTGGAGAGATCGAAGTGGTGGGAGGGCCCGAGTTGGTTGAGAAGACCAAGAAGAGATTGGCCCCATAGGGAAATATACCCTGACCCAGATATTGTGAACTCGGAAAAGAGAAAGATTGTTTTAAAATCAACTCAATTGAAAGGGCTAGTCTTCAGAAGAGATTCCGGACGGAGTATTTTGGATTCTTAAGACAAGAGACTAGAAGACGCTCGAAGACAAGACCTATCAAGGTGGGAGATCTGGTGTTGATTGGACAAGATAACGCTAAGCGAGTCAATTGGCCTTTGGCGAGAGTTGTGGAGGTCTACCCTGGCCGAGATGGACCTGTGAGGGTCGCCAAGTTGAGAACCAGCAAGGGCGTCCAGATTGGGCCTGTTCAACGGCTCTACAATTTAGAGATACCCGCCGATCTGGGGAGTACCTTGAGGAGTATACAGTCGGAACCACGCCGGGGAGGCTCCCGGGGAGAGGCCAGTGAAGACCCTGCGAAGATGGCCCGGTCCTAAAGAACTGGAATGAACGGTCGTTTCCCAACTATTGGTTGAGTTTCTGTAGAAAAAACTCAAGGTGGGAGTATGTTGGGAATAGAATGTTAATTTTCTTATAGATTTATATTTTTCTAAATATATGTAAATTTAATCCATTATAAGAAACATATTTGTCATATGTAAATATTTATATGTATATATATTCGTGACAAAAAATAAACAGTTGTTGACTGGTTAGACTCGTGTGGTTTTTCTCGGCCCGCTCTCGAGAGGTCTACGCCTTGGTTGATACCTGCCTTAGACACTTCCGTAGATTTGACTTCTTGGGAATCGCTCTTCTCTACCTTTGAGATACCACGGTTTTTTTCCTCCCCGGGACCAGAATAAGAGACTTCGGGCGTCTGGGCAAAATAGAGCCTGGGCGCTACGCCGCTGAACGCGACACATAGTATAATAAACAACATAATCTATATATATATAATTGAATGTCTGTCTGTGTGTACTCTATAGATTGACAAACCATACATCCAATCGCCGTGAAATTTTGGGATATTATTAGGTATATCCCCGGGAAGGTTTTTGAAAAAAAAATTCTTGAATATCTCGAATATCCTTAGAGTTATTTGCAGATTTGTATATTTAACTCGCAAGTAGCGCCACCAATGCGACGATGTTAACAAGTTTTTTATCTATAAGTTTTATTATCACTAAGTTTATTATCTTAAAGATTATTCATCAAAAGTAAGATTATCTCAGGATGACACGGCAATTTATTTGAGACAAGAATAATGATACAATTCCAAGGCGAATATACTATTCCTTTAACTTCCAATTACCGAGGGAACCAATTAAAATTGATTTTATTCAACTTATCGAGTATTTTTCAAGGGACCGGGAAAAATGTTCACTAGATAAAACGATTTTGTAATGTAGAAAATTAGGAAAGACCAAATTCAGGATGACACGGCACACAGGGACCGGGAAAAAAATGTTCACTTTATCGAGGGATTCAAATTTA